ACGGACCAACAGGTGGACGGGCAGTGAGGGAGCCCAGGGGACACAAGAGCGTGAAAGCCAGAGCATCCTCCACAGAAGACCAGGTCAGCAGGGTCGCTGACGACCTGGAAAGGGGCAGGGGCACAAGAACTGGCACCTGGGTCCGGGAGAAAGGCAGGCCCCCTCCCTTTTGCCTGGGCCCCACAAGTCAAGCTCCCCAAGGATGCCCAGGGTCCCAGGAAAACCTTCTCCAGCTCTGACCCTGGCTTGGCACAGAAACACAGAGAATACTGCTGCGAGCTGCTTACTAGTTCAGGGGTGTGCCGCACCTACTGCGTTCAGTGAGTCATCCTCGCCATTGCTGGGCAGCGCTGGTAGGCACCAACCCCTCCTTGAACCTGGTTGGTCAGTTCAGATGAGACAAGTCGCGGCAGTGCTTCCCCTTCCTGCCGGGAGGAACCGGCCCAGGCATCAGGATCACACTCCATCTGGGGAGGATGCTGGTGAGCCGGAGCTTCTGGAGGCGCACTTTCGGCCACACCCTCTGCCCGGACTGTGGCCGGCTGAACATCAGAGGTCAGAACGCAGTGATTGTGGGTGTTTGGACAGGGATTTTAAAATGTTACTGTTTAAAGGCGTTACTTAGACATTGTTTAAGAAAGCCTTAAACTTGATTTACATAAGCATTTATTTCTAATAAGACTGGAATTGTAACCTGATTGATAGAATTAATATTCTTTAGGGACTAAGACTACTTTGGAAAGACTGTAATATAGGTTTCTTAAATGACTCCTGGGCTTAAGTGACTTTTAGATCCTTGCCAGCCTCCCAGAAATTAATGAGCAAGTGCAGCATACATGTCATGCAGATTTTGTTAGGTCTTAGGCTCTGGTGGCCCCTTGGTTCAAATATTAAGATTACGTACCCATTTTCCTAATCTTAGCAGACAAAATGAGACTCCTGCATCCTACTTAGGTTAGAAAAGAAAACACCATATTTGTAACTGAGCTGACACTTTATTAGCCCCTGATTTTGCCCCAAGGAACTCCCCAAGAGTTTGTAATTTCACTGCGGCTTGGCCCCCTTTGCTGTTGAGAAAAGCAGCTTTCTTTTTCTAAGAACACACAGCATCACTCTCAAGGAAATATCATTAGATAAGGCATCCAGCTATTAACACGGTGCCATCCACTCAGCCAGTGTTTCTTTAGGGCTTACCCCTGTTGCGCACTAAAGACAGATGACAAACAAGGCAGAGAGGGCCCTGGCCCTCTGTCACCACCCTATAGTCTGGGAGAGGAACTACATTTTCAAGATTAACAAAATAATCGCAAAGCGTGAAGAGGAAAGCAGAGACGTGGGTATAACCTCCAGGAGGAGGCACTACCTACTCTAGGGAGTCAGGGAAGGTGGCACTTGAGCAAAGACTGAATGAAGACATTTGGAGTGAGCTTGACCAGAGCAGGAGGGAGCCTCAGTCCTGAAAGGAGCCTGCTGCTTCTGAGGGTCTGAAAGACCCGCGTGTTTGCAGCATGAGCTAAGACCCCACCCACGGTGAGTCTCAAGAGAAGGCTGTGGGGGCTCCTGGCTGGCCAGTGACAAGACCTGCAGGACATTCTGCAGAAGTCACTCAGGATTCCAGGTAGAGCCCAGGAGGGGGTAGAGGGGAGGAAGAGAGCAGTGAGTAGAACCTGCAAGCATGATTTCCCCAAGACGGGAAGACCCCTCGCCACATAGGGAAGATGAGACAGGGGCACATCCCCAGGTGCCCGGAGCGGGAATAAACAGGCCAGACCAGCTGGGAGCTGGAGGGCAGGCAGGAGTGGTGAGTGACAAAGTCAAGGATGACTCAGAGTTCAGGCTGGCGTGACTGGGAAGAGGGCAGACTAGTGGAAAAACAGGTTTGGAGAGAGAAGTCCCTTCCTTGCAAGTGTAAACCTCAATGGCTTATTCATCCTGCCCGGCACTACCGGCACCTCCATTGCACATGCTCTAACACATGATGTGTACAGCCACCACGGCCTGGCCCGGAGTGGCCCAGGTACACCAGGGGTCTTCAGAAAGTCCATGGAAATGCATATTAGAAAAACATCTATGCTCAGATTTTTTAATAATTTGCACCAAAATAAGCTATCTTGTAACTCCATTTTCCATGAACTTTTGGAAGGCCCTCGTGTGTGTGAGTGCATGAATGTATGTATGGAGGGGTCAGGGAGCAGGCAGCAGTAAGTGGGACCTCGGAGGCTTCTCTCGATGCTGCATTTGATGAAAGAGTTTTCACTCAGCTTGTGTGCTTGCTTAGATTTGGGCTCAGGACCCCTAAAGTTACTTGCTAAGAAATCAGGGAAGAGATAGTACCATTAAGCCTAAATATTAAAATATAAGAGTAATCTGATGTCCATTTTCCATGTTATTTCATACCTCGTTATTTCTCCAATGGAGAAGTTAGTTGAGGAAAAAAACCAAAGATGTAAATGTGCAGTCCGAGAGCCAGACCACTGCTCCGGTGCAGGGCTGTGCACCTCCTCAGTCTGCCCTTTGCCCGAGGAGTCCTCTCCTGGCTGACATTACTATTCTGTGAAACAGCAGTGCTGCTGGTCACCCTCTGCTTCTTGCCAGAGTACGACGCAGGCTGGGGCTTGGAAAGTTTCTGGTAATTGGATTTTAATGACATAGTTAAGAAAGGTCACTCCTAGAAGCAACAGAAAACTAAGTATGTGGAAATAATATGTATATGACTGGCTTAACTGCTATTTCTAGTATTTGTTTGGCATTGGTCCTTAGAAACATCTTTAATCCTTAAAAGCAGTTAAAAAGGATCCTTCATCTTAATTAATTTGTTGATGCTACATTCAACTACACTGGCAAAATGTTATCTGGAACCATTCAATAACATCGGATTCTAGGTAAACAGCAGACTTAAAATATGTTGGATAATACAGGCCTAACAACAGGTTGCTAATACTGATAACTGTATAAATAGAACCATATGTAACTACAACTCTTGTTGATAGTCATAGTGCTTACTTTTTTTTTAAAGATTTATTTATTTATTTGAAAGGCAGAGTTACAGAGAGGCTGAGGCAGAGGCAGAGACAGCAAAATCTTCCATCCGCTGGTTCACTCCCCAAATGGCTGCAACGGCTGGAGCTGGGCTGATCTGAAGCCAGGAGTCAGGGGCTTCTTCTGGGTCTCCCACACGGAGGCAGGGGCCCATGGACTTGGGCCATCCTCCACTGACTTCCCAGGCCATGGCAGAGAGCTGGATCGGATGTGGAGCAGCTGGGTCTCGAACTGGCGTCCATATGGGATGCCGGCACTGCAGGTGGCAGCTTTACCGGCTACACCACAGCGCCAGCTCCTCCGTTATCTTTGAGAACGGGAAATAACTTTAGTCTCAGAACAAATCTGGTTAGATTGTGAGTCCTGACGTTGAAAGGAAACTTAGACATTATTCCATCTTCTCTTTTTAAAGGTTTACTAAATGAAAATGATTTAGCAACTCTTTACCCAAAAAGGTGTTCATCCGACTGCAAAGGAATCTGCTAGGGTGAGTGGTGACTGAATTCTTTAAAACTGATTTATATAAGCGTTTAGTATATGGAAAGGACTAAACCTACAATTTATCCCCAGGCATACATTACTTAAGTATCTTCTACCTTAGAATCCAGTGAAATGTGAGACAGAGGGAGCCTGGGCATCCCTAACAAATTCCTTAGGAAGCCCGCCCAGGGCTCCCGCTCGCTTTTCCGGCCCCTACCTGCCTTTCTCCTCTTCCCTGCCGGCTCGGAGCCTCAGCCCCTGCTGCTCTCCCAGGTCTCAGGGCCCTGGGCAAGGGACTTCCGCCGCCTGGAGCCCCCTCCCCTCGTCCTGTGTCGGTCCTCCTGCAGGCCGACCCCCGCCTCCTCCGACCACCGGGCCCTCCCACCCCAGGCCTCCTGGGTCCTGAGTCGCTGCTCAGTTCTCCCGGGAGGCCACGACCAACACCGTCCGTGCAGTGCCGGATCCGCGACGCCAAGAACGGGGCGAGAACCAGCAAAGACAGTGAGAAGGAAACGCGAACAGCTCCGCCTCCCAAAACCGCCCCCGACTCAGGAGCCAGCGCACGCCCTTCGCTAGTTTTCTCTCAACAACGTCAGCTTCCACTGGAGTCACTGTGACCGTGAACTCTGATGCGGCCAAGGGGCCTCACTAGGAGAAGAGGGGCCACGCGCGGGCCCTCGGGGCGCCGTGCTCGGCCCTGGCTCGCTAGGCTCAGCGAAGCAGCGGCCGTCACACAGAATCCGGGACACGCGTGGAAACAGAAAAAAAAAAAAAAAAACACACCAAAACCTGCCGGAGCGCACGCCGGACCTTAAGTGACAACGCACACCCCAGAAGAGGGCCCCGCGCCCAGCAAGCCCGCCGGGGCGGGACGCGAGCGCGCCGCGGTCAGCTCCCTCGGCGAGCGGAGGAAAAACGCGCGCACAGCTCCTCAGACCGCGGTCCGCGCCGGCGCCGGCAACCACGCGGGCGGCAGAAAACCACGCTGCGAAGGCGCAGGTCGCGGGACCTCCCGCGGTCACTCAGTCCACGCACCCGGGCCAAGCGCGGCCGGGGGGCAGCGGGTCTCCACGCACACTGCCCCGGCCGGCCCAGACACGGGAGAGGGCGTCCACACCCGGCGCGCACGGCCGAGCTCCGCTGCCCGCCCCGGGACGGCCGCGACGGGTCCGGTCCGCTCCTCCGCCCGCAGCCGGGCAGCGCGCGGGAGCAGCCGCGAACCGCATTTCCAGGCCGCCCAGGGCCCCCGACTCATCCCCGGGCAGTGCCCGACGCGGCGCGGCCCGGCCGGCCTTACCCTGGGGCTCCATGGTCAGCTGCTCCCGGGCCCCCTCGGGCCGAGCCCCGGCGCCTCCTAACGCCTCCGCTCCGGGGCAGGCGTCGCTTCGGTTGTCCTGGCAACCAGCGGGCCGAGAGGCGGGGCCCGGCGGACGGCAAGCGGGAGCGACCAAAAGCCTCGCGGACTCGCGGGCGAGCGCGAGGAAGGGCCCGCGCGTCGCCGGGGGCGCGGAGCGAGAGTGGCGGCCGGGTCGCCGGCAGGAGGACGCTGCCCTCGGGGCCTGACAGGGCGGCCGGGCCCGCTCTGGTGGCCGACGCGGGACCCAGGCCTCGAACCCTAGGGAGGGGGCCTAGAGACCCTGCTGGCCGCGTCCTGAGGCGTCCGTCGGGCCGCGAGCCGAGCTTGGGGCTAGCCGGCCGGCCCGCGGGGAGGGCGGCCAGGCCTGGGCCGCCTCCCGGGACGGAGCAGCCGCTGCAGGTAAAGGCAGGGCCCGGGCGGCGGGCTGGGGGTCGGCGGCGGCCGGGGGCGGCCCAGGGCGGGTGGGCAGCCCCGGCGCACTTGTTGCGGCCACCTGGGACTGGGAGGGGGGTCCCCCCGCCCGCCGTTGGCCGCGAACGACCCCCGCCCGCCCCCGAAGCGCGCCCCCTCCTCTCGGAGCCCGTGCCTCAGAGGGAGGCCCGGCGTCGCCCAGGTCTGGGGCGGTGGTCGTCGGCCGGGGTCAAGCAGGCGCCGCTCCGCGGGGGCCGCGCGCGCCCCCTGCGTCCAGCCCTGCCCGGTCGCGCCCGGGATCGCGCTCAGCCGCCGGCCGGGTGGGATCCCAGCAGGCGTCGTGGTCTGCCGGCGTTCGCGCGGGTCCTTGGCGCGGTCGGCGGCGGCGCGGCACCCGCCCACCTGCTGCGCCGCGCAAGTGTGCGGGGCTGCTGCGGGGACCTAGATGTGCGAGCCGGTGCGGGTCCAGGAGCCGCCCGGAAGGAGGAAGGCGAAGCGAGGGGGAGGAGGAGGAGCAGGTGCGGGGGAGCCCGCAGGGCGAGGCGGTGCCCAGGTGTGCGGGTGCCGCGCCCGCGGCGGGCATCCCCAAGGCGGGGACTCGCCTTTCTCTCCGAGCGGGGCCTGACTGAACCCGAGACCCTCGCGTGCCGGCGAATCAGGCGTTCGCGGCTCGGGCTGCGTGGGGACCACGCTTGGTGCGGTTTGTGGAAACTCGCTGACTAACGCGGCGGTGCGGGCCGCGCGCCTCTCTCTGAGCTGAGCAGTGAGTTCAGGTTGGAAAGTAGCTGCCGCGTGGGACCTTCGCTGCCCGCTTCTGCATTTGCAGGCAAAGCGTCCAGGGTTAGCAATGCTTCTGCATACAGCGTTTTGACAATTTGGAAGCTAAAGTGATTTTTCCTCCAAGACACCAACGTAGTGATGCTGATTAGTAACAGCGTCATCGAAAGTCACAAGATGATGGTAATCTTTTAAAAGTTGGCATTTAGTGACAAAAAAAGGTTACATTTTCCCAGACAGTAGTTAGGCATTTGTATTTGAGGGTTGGGGGAGGAGAAGAAATAAATATTGCAGATCTTGCAGAAGTAACAAGGACTCAAGAATTTGGCAGTTACACCCACATTTTAAGATTGGGAAATGGGGGAATGTGTCGGAGGACTGTACAGCGGTGTAGAATAATTTATCAGCAGCTGTGAGGTTGGCATCAAGGAAGGCTTGAGTTGAAATACTTCCAGCAGTGAAGACAAGTCTGAAAAGCAGCTTGCTGTGTGGACAGTGTGCTCCGGGAGGAGAGCGGTCAGGGGGTGGAAGTGGCCGGGAAAGCCGCTCAACACCTATGGCAGCGACAGCAGCAGTTCCTCTTCTAGCACCTAGCACTTAGCACCTGGCACCTAGCACCTAGCACCATGCCTTTTCAGATGTCTTCTGGATGACTGAGAGAAGCCTTAGAGAAACTGCTTTCCGTGTACCGGAGTCACTGTTGCTAATGGGTTCGCGTTTGGGGATGAATGGTAAAGGTCTTAGTGATCCTTTCTAGGTTTTTCTGCCTTGTACTTACTTTCCCTGGCATGCTCAGTATGTTTTTGGTGATCACATGAAAAACAGAGCCCTGGTTTTTTGTTTTGGTATGGTTTTTGTTTCTTTTTTCCAGCCTCTGTGCTTATCCTTGAAAAGAGCATTTGTATTGTAACTATTGACTGCCAGTGCCTAACTCAGTGTAGCAACCCAAGGAATAACAAGGTGCAGTGAAGAGCCCCATGTAGCCTTGCTTGTTATTTTTTTAATGTTAAGGCTACTTCAGAATTCAAAGTAATAGTAGCTGTAATGGAAAGTTGATATTCAATGCAAATAGGACAGTTTTCTAAAAGGCACATGAATATGTTAGATCAGTCTCCTAAATTGATTTGATTTGATAAATAGGGGTGGGGTGTTTGTTTTCATTTTCTTTTTGAAGTACTTTTCCCTCTTGGTTGTTACTTTCTGAAACTCATGAGGAGTTCAGTCAAAGGTAGAAAACCCATTCCTGTTTTTGGTGTTTTTGTCCTCGGAACCTGTGGTGGTCTGCACTCTGGTTGTAGGATTGGGCTGGTCCCCACTAAATGCACTGCTCTCTCCTGCAGGTGCTGCACAGCTCAGCACGTGGCCCTACCCTACACTTTCCTCTAGAGTTTTCCTCTCATTTGATGCCCCTGATTGGATTGCACGCTTTAGAAGCCAAGTCCATGACTTGCACCTCTGTATTCCTTTTAGCACAGAGTGGGCTTTAGTCTGTGGCTGATCACAAGTGGAATGAAAACAGAGGGGACAAGCCTCCAGCGGGGGACGATTGCACTGGTTTCCAGCTGAGCCACCTTGGGAAAGTCAGAAGCTAGTATTTCCTCCTTCATAGCTGGAAATAATAGATCATAAAACCTGCACCGGTTGGCTGGTCACACACATGAATGCGAAATATCTTGACTATTGTAAAGCCTGTTTTAAATGTAAGTGGTTGTTACTGATTTCCGGCATTGAACAAACAAACGTTTACTGAGCGCTCAGAGTGTGTCAGGCACTTGCTGAGTTCTGGGGCTGCCGCTCAGAAAGAGTGAATAGGAAGTGACCGGCCACATTGCCTGTAAGGCCAGGGAACGGCTTGGCCAACGCACCACGTCCTGAGGGAGCAGCTCTTCAGGACAGTCCCTGTGTCTGCAGCAGAGGCTTCCATGAGGAAGTGAGGCCACAGAGGCACAGGTGGGTCGAGAACTCAGGTGTTGTGGTTTTTTCCTTAAAGGAGATGAGCAGGATTTGGGTCAGTGATACAATCAGTTTGGCCTTTGGAAAGGATCACTGGTAGCTTGTGAATGACAGCCTGGTGGAGAGCCAGAATTAGAGACAGAAGAAAACAACTGGGAGATTTTTGCAGCAATTTACTCAAAAAAAAAAAAAAAAGAGGCATGATAACAAGGCAGTCAGGGTGGAGGAGCCAGTGAAAGTGGCTGAAGCCACCACAGGTGCCAGTGAAGCCAGGACGACTCCAGGTGTGTGAATTGAGTGGCTGTTCTGGTATTTGTTGTTGTTTGTTGAAGTCTGAGACAGAAAAGAAGGAAAAAAATACTTCTGTTTTTATTGTACCTGTGAAATACCTGAAATCTATTTTCTTTATATTAAAAAATTTTTTTAAAGAAATATGGGGAAAGGCAAGACAAGAGAGGAGGGGAGGGCATGCACATATAACTTTTCTTTAGTCCACATTCATTTAAGAAGAACTTGGAATAAAATCTTAACAGTTCACGATCTGAGCAGAAAAAAAAAAGAAGATGAAGTGTCAGAAATGAATGTGCTGAGGGCGAGGGAGCCCTGCGTGGTAGTTCAGCGGTGAAGCCACCCTGCGTGGTAGTTCAGCGGTTAAGCCACCACTCTCATCCCCTATCAGAGTGCCTGGGATCAGGTGTCACTCTGTTCATTCCAGCTTCCTGCTAATGTGCCTGGGGGGCAGCAGATGATGGTTCAAGTAGTTGGGTCCTTGCCACTGACATGAGAGACCAATGGAGTTCCTAGCTCCTGGTCTCTGCCTGGCCCTGCCCCAACTGTTGTGGACATTTGAGGACTGAACCAGCAGATGGAAGACCTCTCTCGGTGTCACTCTGCCTCCCCAAAAAAATGCAAGGAAGGAAAGAAGAATGAGAAATGGGGCAGATTTGCATTCTAACGTTGGGGTTGCCTGTCATCTACATTGGGATGCTGGATAAATAGGGGTAAGGCATGTGGATCTAGAACTAAAGAAGGAAATCCAAGATGAAGTTAGAAGCTTGGATTAAGCATTCCATAACTGGAGTTAAAATGTGAATGTTTTTCTCCAGGGAGATAGTGGACTGAGAAGAGGGACAAGGGTAGAACCTTGGGTGCACATATTTAGGGGCAGGGGTGGTAGTGGAAGAACCCGAGACCTAAGAAGAGTGGGGAGAAAGCAAGCTGCAGGTCTGGGGGAGCTCAGGCATCGGTGGTCCCGGGAGGGGCACGGTTTCCTCCCCCTGTTTGTAGTGAAGTGCATGTTGGCAGAGTCCTGATATTTGTAGTTTGCACAGTTGTCCTGGGGGTGACAATTCAGGTGAAATAGAGCTTCGGAAGTTGTCCAGGACAATGCCTCAAGGAGACGCTGTCTTCTTGAAAAGATGGGTGGAAGTGTGTTCTGTAAATGTCAGAGGCAAATATGTTAACTGCCTGGGGAGACTGGCAGCCACTGAGACCTCAGCTTTTACTGGAGATTTGCTCAGACATCTGCCTGCTTCATTGTCTCTTCTCCTCGGAGTAAGAGATTTTAGAACTTCATGCAATGAAAAAAATCACCAAAATATTATAGCAAGGCATTGAGTAGTCTAGTTCTTTGAATAGCTAACAAGATCCCGGACTTAATAAACTTACTTGTGAGGGGTTATGTAGGAGAATTGCATACAAGCAATTGACTGAGCTTAAGTCTGTATTTAAAAAATTTTTTTTGAGCTATAAAGACTGTTTAGTCTCAAACATATGTTACCTGGGGCCTGCGCTGTGGCGCAGTGGGTTAATGCCCTAGCCTGAAGCACTGGCATCCCATATGGGTGCCGGTTCAAGACCCAGCTGCTCCACTTCCAATCCAGCTCTCCGCTATGGCCTGGGATAGCAGTAGAAGATGGCCCAAGTCCTTGGGCCCCTGCACCCGCATGGGAGACCTGGAAGAAGCTCCTGGATCCTGGCTTCAGATCGGCGCAGCTCTGGCCGTTGCTGCCAATTGGGGAGTGAACCATCAGATGGAAGACCTCTCTCTCTATCGCGCACTCTCTATCGCTCTCTCTCTCTCTCTATCTCTCTGTGTGTGTGTGTGTGTAACTCTGACTTTCAAATAAATAAATCTTTAAAAAAATATGTAACCCACAGGTTTTTTTTTTAATTCATTTTATTCATTTGAAAAGCAGAGTTACAGAGAGAGAGAAAGAGGGAGAAACAGAGAAATCTTCTATTTGCTGGTTCACTAC